CATCTCGAGTGACACGAGCAGATGTATCTAAAGAACATCCGGCTGTTGAAGAACAGCTGCCAGTTGGTACTCCGAACAAAACAACGAAGCACTGCAAAAGACGGCATATGAGCAACATAAGAGCTACTCAATGCCAGCACGAAAGAGCTGTACAACATGTGCAACAGGTGTGTAACACATGTGAGGCGACGACGACAGGCATGTACAGGGGTACAAAGGCTTGCGCTGCTCAGCTGTGCAGAGGCTTCACTACACCTAACACCTACCCTACCGGCCAGCGGGTTCAAGGTTCAGAAAAGAGTGTGCGAAATGTGGCACATCATATCCAATCTTGAGCAGATCACCAGGGCCAGCGAGCATCCAATTATGTATCAGCATCATCATCCATGAAAGCCAGAACTCTGGAATCTCCATAATCCATCGTTGCTTCCGAACCAGAAGATTCAATCAAAGTTGGCGCCGGTGAGGGGCACCCGTTGCGGCTTTCACGCAGGTCATCATGATCATCCTGAGTTTCCACCTGAGACTCAAGAGTCAACGGGGCTCGAGGCACTCGCATTGGATCCACTGAAGACTGCGCAGGCTGCTGAAACAATGTTGGATGCATAGCCGTGATAGGCCTCGGCTCAGTAATCATGTGTGAAAGTATATGTCGATAAATGTCCTCGTAAAAATCCTCACGATGTGACTGATCCAGCATGTGACGAAAGAAGGTGATGGCTACATCCAGGTTGGCATGCTCCAGTTCCTGATAGATTTGTGCACGAATCTGTGTGGTGGTATCGGCATCTGAAGGGTATTGCGCAAAGTAATGCCGCACACCAAGGTCGGCAACAAATTGTCGAGGGTGGGGAATACGGCGCAACCACAGATACATAGCCAACGAGGCATCATCCACCACTTCAGAAGCTGGCTTGTCGAGTGAAGCATACAGGCTCATGAGACGTGCCGCCAATGCACACACCCACAGCAGAGTGCCTCCGTACCCCTTTGGTATACCAGGGCACGACCCAAATAAAAAGTAGACAATGCCGCGGCCCATGCAACACGACAATGTTGTGGAGCTGCACACTAAACTGTGGGCTGGGAGGCCCCCAGAGGTCCCCGATTCAAAATATCAGAGTTGCAGATACTGATATTTTGCTTTCTGTACCTTTTGGTGGCCACAAAAATGTCTCAAATGTTCTCAGCATGCGAATGGAAAAAGAAGAGTGTAATGCAATGCAATGTTCATGCAGCCCATAAGCACAGCATCTGCAGACGCTCGGGCCACACGGAAATGTTGGGCTGCACCTTAAGCTTCCACACGTATCAAGAACACAAGATAAATGCGCTTGCTGAGACTGACAAGTTCGGCAGAGTTCAGAGGTGCAGTGACAATGTTATCGTCCGCAGCGCGTGCCCCCGACTGCCAGCTAGGCCCCTCATGGTTCGTGAACAAGACGGTCTAATAGTGACCTGACCGTGCCGTGGCACCGGCATGTACAATCACCGAGACAATCCGGTACGGCACCCAGGTGGTGTCGCCCGTTGCAATGCATGGCATGTGAATCAAACCCGCCTCCAAAGAAACAGCTGCAGCGTCCTTCCTGCCAAAGGGGTGGCAGCCAGAGAACCTGTTTAATTGTAGAATGAGCAACGGCCTCGCCAGTGCGAGACCATAGAGGTGGAGCTGCATGTGCCAATCCTGTATACTCTGCTGCAACGTGGCATGCGGAGTACCACATGCACGCCTGATGGGCAGAAACACTGGACAGCTGCCACCTAACTCTCTGGGGACTGCGGCAGCCTCAACTCTTTGTACCATCCAGGTACAAAGACCGGGTAGCCCCTGCATGCGTGCACAGAGGTGCCCTCTGAACTCGGAGGCATCGTGCTGTTCTAGAGGCCGCGGCCATCCTCGCCCAATCGGTTCCCATTCGGACAACCTGCGTAGCGTGATCATCTGCCCCCGCCGCGAATGCATGAGCCTGTGGATTGATGCCCGCAATGGTGGCGCAGTCCGCCCGGGACTGACCAGGACAATGCAAGAATCGATGAGTTGGCATAGCACTAACTGGTACCCGCTTCATTTTTGAGATCATGTTCTGAACGCGAAGCTCCGCTGGGCTCCGCTTGGCCCGGGCTGGGCGCAGTCGCCCGTGCAGAAGGTGCCACACACTTAGACGTGACCATTGATGCAGAATCTGAAACATCCTGCCGTCCCGAGACATCGATGAGGAACGGCACCAGAGCATTCTTTGTGTCCGCTTCGAGCCTTTGCGTACTGCAAAACCGGGTGATCACCTCGGGTTGGTGCTGCAACATGTGTGCTGCGTCCTGAATGGTTTGCCGTAGGTCCTTGGCGGACAGCGGGTTGCGCGTGGCATCTGTGGCATCAGCTTGCCATTGTCCTTGTCCCAAAGCATGTACATCCAGTCCTGCTTGTCCGTTACCATCTCTTGCTTGACCAATGCCGCTAAGACCTCCGGGGATTTCAAGGCATGGCTGAGGCGATTGCTGAGTTCCTGAAGCAGGCACCGTAGCATCATGACACCCAACGAACATGTGATCTGCTCCGGGGTCTCCGCCTGCTTCTTTCTGCAAAGTCCTGCCACTTCGAACATGGTTGGAATGACTTCAGACGGTGTGAGGCGAAGACCTCGAAGATGACACCCACATCCAAGCACATGGCCTTGCATGCTTTCTGGGATTCCAACACCCATTGAAACAGGAAATCATCAGCAAAGCACGTGGCATGCCGCTCCGACCAATCCGCTGACAGACGCTCATTGAGCCTGTGATGCACAAAGCGTGTCATGATGACCCAATTGGTAGGAGCAATAACACAGCCTTGTTTGACTCCTTTGGTGATACTAATGCGCCTGGTGTAGCCACCATCACCCCGTTGACCCAGGGCATATTCGCTGCGATACCAAGACAATCAGGAGAGTCGCCAGGTCACACGGCACTTCAGCCCACATAAGAGCCTCCCACAACACGTCATGCCCGACTGAATCGAATGCACGACTAAGGTCCAGTGAGAGCGTGGCTCCCCCCGCGCAACGTTGTTGTTGTACTCCCGCCTTGCGCGCATGAATGCTAAGGTGTTGCCCACCGTGTGTGATCGAGCGCACCTTGTCAATGTGTGTCAGTGCTCGAGCAATGGCCGAATGTGTGTCACGGTTCCTCAGATATGCAAACTGTGGTACATGTAGTGCCACCCTCTCAGTATGTGGAACCAACTGATTTTTCAGGAGGCGACTGAGTGCCTTGCCACCCCCAGTTTGGAGTGCAAGAGGCCGCAAGTCCCCAGGTGTGCGCAACGTCCGGTGTGGTTTGCTCATGAAGTGTGTCCAGGCTTCAGTAAGGTAGAGTGGGACACACACCGGACCCGGGGGCCAAGCCTGCTGCACATAAGCATGCAGATGCGGGGCTGCCAGCTTCCAAGCAGCGCACGGTGCCTTGCCTGGCATAGCAGCTTTTCGCATCGGCAATCGTGCAACCGCCTCCAGGACCTCTTGGGCTGCAGCTTGAACACCCTCCGTCAAGTGTGAGTCATGAGCCTGGGCACCATCATTGAAAATGCCATCCCAGTATGCATGAAGGGTATCGATTTCAGCCTCGGCCGTGAGCATCTCACCATGTTCACCTTTCAGTTGGATCCTGCCTCTCGCCTGCTTTGGGGCAAGTTGCTGTATAACAGCGAAAAAAGTGTGCGTGTCATGCCGTGCAAGCGCCTGCTCTGCATCCTCCAACTGCCTCACCAACTTAGCCTTACGCAGTCGATGACTGGAGCGTCGCAGCTCCTTCCGCGAGCGTTGATACTGAGCATACTGGGTCCAAAAATTCCACATGCATCTAATGGCTCTACCATGCATACACATAAAGGCAATGCGAACCTGCTTGGCCAGACGCAGATGCTCGGCACGATGCTCCCACACATCCTGCAGGCGCAGTGCGGTCTCGGGCTGCTGCCATGCACTCGGTGGCGGAGCCTCAGGCTTGCCGGCAAAGACATGTGCCGAGGCCTGCAAAAGGATGTCATCCAAGTTCTCCGGGGTAACCGGGTGGGACGCACCAGCTAAGGCCTCCCGAACATGTTGAAACGGAACACCTGAACCTTCTCACGGTGCTTCTGCGCCTCATTAGCCATGTGTTGACGGTCAACCCGAAACGCATCACCTTTTGAGCGCACGGCCTGTGGAACATCCGGACGGGTGTCCAAAACGACAGCATAAACAGGTACATGCCGACTGCCCTCACGCCACTGAAAAAACTCAAGCTGAGGTTGCGATGCAGCCTGACGACCTAAGGGACCTGCCTGCAAGGATCTAGTCAGCACGAAGTCCAGCTGTGTCTGGATCGAATCACCAATGAACGTCGCAGCGCTTTTGTCACATCTACCAAATGTGTTCAGAGCAACCAGGGAGTGGGCTTCAAGAAACTGCGCAAGCTGATCCTCATCAGCAGGCACAATCCTCGGCATGAGGACTCCACGCCCTACCAGATGCCCATTATGCTTCATGGGTGTATTCAGGTCTCACGCCACAACGAGCAGATGACGACGGGGCACAGCAGCCACCACCTGATGCAACAAAGTCCAGATTTTCGCCCGGTTCTCGTACACCTCAGCCTGCTCCGAAGAACGCGCGTGCTGATAAACACTGATCAAGGTGGTGGGCCTCCGTCGGGGCGGGTGCCCGCGAAGAGCCGGAACATGAAGCATAAGCACAGAGCCTACCCTACGCTCTGCAACCCTGACACTGGCACTGTCTGCAAAGCGACGATTCAGGAGAACTGCAACCCCTTGCCCAACAACCGGGCTGCGGCCCGACTGGACCCACACCCATTCAGCAGTGCAAAATTCAGTGCTGCCTCGCCAGGTTTCCTGAAGGAACACAACATGCGCCAATCGGCGCGTGGTTTCAAGATGCAGCCAGCGTTGAAATTCGTCAAACCCAGCCTTACTGAACCCGCCTAAATTGAAGGTGAGAACCCCTAGCCCCTGCTTTGGCATGCGTGGCCCCTGGGAGCCAAGTACTGCCGGCTTCGGCGGCCAAGGCGGAAGCGCAGGCATCTTGGGCATGCATTTACAAAGCTGACGCGCGAAATGACATGGCGTGTCATGAACCTCGCCTGGCAGACCGATGTCCTTCGAAGTAACCCATCTATCCCTGTACCAAGTGCCACCATTCTTGATGGCTCGTCGTCTAGCTCTTTGCAGTGCGCGCTTGCGCGCAGGTTGTTGAGGCGCCGGCGCCGGGTTGGCGCGACGTTCGTGTCTATCATCTCGCTTCGCCCCACTCCATAATGAAAAACAGGCCTGTTGACTGGAGCTTCGGCAGGGTCGATGATATCCCCTGCTACCCTCGCATCTGCTGCCCCTGCTGTTTGCCAAAGAAAGTCGCATACTGATGACTCGCAGAATCCGGCTGATCGTGATGTGCCTGACTGCAGGCCTCGCTGGCCTGTGGTCTGTTCCCAGCATTGAGCACCAGCCCTGGAGCTGGCTCAAGAAAATCATGTGAAAAATCTTCAATGCAAAGCTCTTCCTCAAAGTCACGGTCATACACAAAAGCACTATAATCAATGTCAAACCAGTCTGCAGCCATGTCCTCAAACCACTCGCTGCAGTATGCAATGTCTGATGGGACAGCCCCGGGACTTGGGACCCAGGTTGGCTCGCAAAAATGGCGTGTGTGGCAGCCGCCCCTCACAAAACACTCTAGCCCAGCAATCTGTATGACAAGCACCACAAAATATGCAATCATGTGTGCACAAAGACGGTGGTATGCGCTCGTTGTTGAAACTGCACAAATGCCAGATAGATGCCAGGATAGTTGCGCGCTGCCCTGCAAGAGCAAGGCTTCTGTCTCCGGTAATATATCAGTAGCGCTGCAAAGCAAATGAACTGCAGAAGAATCCTCCCACAGACGCGTGGCCAGTTGCAGAATGTAAGGCTTGAGACGCGAGGAAGGATGCAGAGCTTCTGTCAGCAAATCCAGGGCCACAGCACGTATATGCACTCTGGGGGACAGCGGAATGCTTGCAAGCAATTCCAGTCAGCAGCTGAAAAAGGGCACGCCGAGCCAACAACGAATGCTCGAACGTCCCTATGGCGCCTAGCCCCGCTACGCTGACCCACCCTCGGAGGATGAGCCACGTCCACGCACAGAGCACGGCCGTGCACTGCGCGCAGGAAGAGCAAGCTACCCCACCAACCAACTACAAACAAGTTCGAGCCAAAGATGCTTGTTTTGACGGGGGCCCGCACCCCGGCGCTCAGCGCACCCCGATCCTCCACGAGGTTCTATAGTCATGTGTCGAGTTTGGTAGGCCTGGATACACATGTATCATTTCTGAGCTGACCATGTACCTATGTGACATTTTGGCTTAAGCCGGCTGCTAGAGCCAAACTGACAGTCGGTACATGCTCTTTGCTTGTGGGGAGTGACCCACTTTATTCTGAAGTGTTCCTTCAGGTGAGGCATGGATGCTCCAGCTCCTCCACCCGAAGGCCAAGCAGCCGGTGATTCAGCCCAAGACGGTGCCGAAGGTCAAGCAGCGGCCCACAGGATGCGGAGCTGCCGCCTTTGAAGCGTGCCAAGGCTGCCGAGCTGGAGGCTGCTGTTCCGTCTTCGAGTTCGGTGTGTGAGCGGGCGGGGCCACCGCCAAGCAGGTGCCCGGCAGAGCCAAAGACACCACGAGGAAGCAGATGCCGGGGGAGCCATCGTCACGCCGCCGGGGTACGGCGCAGAAGCCAGGTCAAGTGATGACCGCCCATACTGGTCCTGGTCCAATAGGAGGCAGAGCGCTTCCCCGCGTGACGGGGTGCAGGAGGCTGAGCAGCTCTTCGACCGACTGGCAACAGCAGGTGGGAAGTCGGCCCCCCTCTAGTCGTGGCTACCGCCACTTCCGCCCCGCCGCCGCAACGCCAACACCAACGCAAACGCCGCCAGCAGACGGCAACCACTCCCACAACAACAACTACATCAAAAACAACAGCCGCAAAACTCTTGCTGCTGCTCCTGCCACACGATTAAAACCAACATCATTACTACTGCCACTGCTACCACCACAACAGCAAAAACAACAACAACAACGACAACGACAACGACAACGACAACGACAACGACAACGACAACGACAACGACTACGACTACGACTACGACTACGACTACGACTACTACTACTACTGCTACATTACTGCTATCCTACTGCTACTGCTACGGCTACTGCTGCTGCTGCTGCTGCTGCTGCTGCTACGTCTATT